CACAAAAACGCTTACCAGGAGCGTCTTCACCGCAGATGATCTTCTGTTTTGCCTGCTGATACTGGTGGAGTTGCGCTTTGTACGCTAGAGACTCATCGCCTTTGTCACCCTGAAATAATCAGTGATAGACTGCCTCATCAGCAAAAATCTCTGAAGTCAATAGAGATATTTCAAGGGGGTGGAGACACAAGTGGACGTCCCTGGAGGGCAGTTCCCAGCCATTTGTATATGGAAAGCTAACATCCACTAATTCCCCAATAAATGTTGCTTTTCTCCACAACCAAATCCATTTTTTTGTCCCTCTACATCTTCCGAGAGCTCTTTTGCTCGTTCTAGGAAATCCCGTATCTCCGGTCTGAATTTCAGCGAAGACAAACATAATTAAAGATTCACAGAATAGTAGGGAGCAATTAGCTTTGACAATGAGAAAAAGATTGAAAATGAGCGGAAAATGTTAACGTGAGGTTCCCAACGAGATTCAAGTAGAGATACTTGGAAATCGGAAGCATTACTACTACATACATACTTTTACCCCATGTACAGAATGGCGCCCGCTAACAAGAAACTGCAAACATTGCATTTTCCCTTCTCCTAAATGGAGTCCAAACAAGAAACTTGGCAGTACTCAACTATTACTACCCCTAAAACTCGAAAAAATCTGTTATTGTTTGATGTTTGTTTTATTTTTAACTCAGCACTCATGTGACAACATTCAAAAAATTTTTTTAGTGAAACTTTGCCCAGAAGGGCAATTCGATGCTCTGATTACGAGTATGGCATTCGCTTTAGACACTGGCGCTATTTGGCGCCACTAGGCGCCGATTTGGTGCACCACGTTTCTCACCAAAATCGGTGTAAACTTGCATACTGGTGATACTACGTACACCGATCACGAAAATGACACTCATTTTCAGATCTGGCGCCATTCGGCGCCACCCTTTTTCATCGAATTCAATAAGAACTTCCATAATAGGGTTGTTTTATGGCCTGATCCCGGATATGGCACTCATTTTTCGACACCAGCGCCATTTAGCG